GGTGTGCCATTCATAAGGACTGAAAAAGACACCGAGCGGAGACACTCATAAATCCACCCCCTCCACGTCTCGCCAAACCCCATTTTCTCTAAAACTGCTAGAAGAAAGGACCAACTCTATCATAGGCTTTTTCCATGTCAACCTTCAAAGCCATATATCCTTTCTTCCCCCGTTTTTTGAGTTTGAGGTAATGCATTAGTTCATGTCCCAGCAAGATATTATCCACAATTTGCCTCTCCCGAATAAATGCATTTTGTCCTTCTGACACAATCTTGGGTAAGAGACAGGCCAAACGGGCGGATAATATCTTGGAGATGATTTTGTAAACAAATTGGCAAAGACTAATAGGGCGAAGTTGCCTGACTGTTTCAACATTATCGACTTTTGGGATTAACGTGAGCCAGGTGTGATTGAAGCTCCGGAGGAGCCGTCCCGTAGTGAAGAAGGAACAAACCGCCTTCTTAACTGACTCACCCACAATATCCCAAAAGGCTTTAAAAAACTTCCCTGTAAACCCATCAGACCCCGGAGCTTGTTTTGATCCCATGGAGAACACACTCTGCCGGACTTCCTCTGGAAGAACTGCCGCAGTAAGACCCGCATTCATTTCCGGGGTCACAGAACGGGCTATAGGTAATCCGGCTACCCTCTCCGGCATGTTCTGGACCTGATTTTCAGAGGAAAAGAGCTGTTGATAAAACGCCGAAGCTATATCCGCCTTTCCTCTCTCCTCCGTTACCCACTCATTATTTTCATTCCGGAGTCCCGAGACAAAATTCCTTTTCCGCCGTGCTCTGGTAACAGTATGAAAATATGACGAATTTTTGTCACCTTTCTTGAGCCATTGGACCCTGGACTTCTGTTGCCAGTACACTTCCTCCGCTTCCCATTGACGATTAAGTTCTATTTCTAGATCACGGATCTCTTCCCAGTTGATCGGATGGCAAGACTTAATTCTGTCAATCTCCCCTTGGAGAGTTCTGATATTCCGCAACGAATTCGTTGTACCCGCCCTACTCCAATCATAGAGCAAATGGCGCAACTTTTTCAGTTTTTGCCAGAGCTGATACATTGGAGTCCCACTGATCTCCTCCTTCCAAACGTAGTCCACCATAGCCCTGACCTCCGGGTTCTCTGCCCAGCGAGCATCGAATCTGAACAGAGGTCTGCTACTTCGAACGTACGGTTTATCCGAAAGAAGAATAGCCCTATGATCAGATCCCTGGTCAGTAAAATGTTTGATTAGGGTATCTGGGAACTGGTTAATCCACGACTGAGAGCACAGGGCCCTATCAAGTCTCTCTCTAATACAAGCCGGGCCCATACGCTTGTTTGTCCAAGTAAATTGGTCACCCTGGAAACCAGGGTCATGCAAACCAAGATCTTGCACAAACTCACGTAATGCCAAGGACTTGGCCAAAGACCACGGGTTCCCCCCATCTTTTTCGCTTTCCTTGACCGTCGCATTAAAATCCCCTATCACCACGAAAGGTAAGGTAAGACCCTCGCATATCTCTCTGATTTGAGCCAATTGGGCGGTACGAATGCCAATATCACAACTGATGTAAACACCAATCACCACATAGGAAAAATTATTCTCATTAACTTGGATACATAAGAAAAAACTGGAATGCAAAAACACCGAAGCGTCAACCTCGGGGGACCAAGCAGCAACTAACCCACCCGATGCCTCAACAGCATCAACAAAAAAACAAGAAGAAGAATCAAAACCTAATCCCCTTAAACGACGGGAAACTACGCGCCTGCACGACCTTGTTTCCGAAAAGAAAACAATATCCGGCTTATTCGAACGAATTAACCCTACAACAGTTTGGAACGTGAGGGATGGTCCAATACCTCTCACGTTCCAGGCCAACACCCTCATTTATCCGATTGGGGCCATTTTTGGCTGGCTTCCTCCACCATCTCAGCTTCCTCAAAGTCCTCCACAAACTGTTTTTTTGGGGTAGGGCTTGCCGCCATTATTCCCTCAACAGAATCCAGGGGCCGTTTTTTGGTTCCCTCCATACGATCCACTAGATTGGATCCATACTCACGGATACCCAGCTCAGCTGCTGCTGTATCGCTAGTCCCTGCCAACCCCATTTCCTTCTTGTTATCAATCTGGGGTAACCCCCCCACCTCCCCTTCATCGTGCATCGCTAATCCTTTCTCAAAGGCCTGCACTACTTGGCTGACACGAACACCACGAGCCACTTTCTTTAGCCCACCGAGTCGCTGTGGAGTACGTCTACGTACCTCAAAGACTGGAGGCTCAGTATCAGATATGGTCTCATCCGAGTCCACAGCCCCCTCGCACAAACCCGTTCCTAAATTTCCACACTGCCCATCACCTAGGGAGTCCTCCACTTGCGGATTATTTTCCTTCCCCGCTTCCATACGCTTTCCATCACCCTGAGCCTGCTTGGGGTCACGCCTAGCATCCTCTCCACCCTTCTTTCCATTCGGCTTGATTTTTTGCAGGACGTCTCCGACCGCTTCAGAATGATGGGCATCCACCTCCTGGCTCCGCCTCCCCACTTCATTCCCCTCTCCGCCATTCTTGTCCAAGCACCTCTGCTGCATGTCTACCGGAACGGTCGTCAGGACAAAATCGTCCTCAGAATCGTCCTCCAGGATTATACGCCGCCGGTAAGCCGCCATTCGTTCTTGTTGCTGCCTGCCTACCTTCAAGATAGGCACAGCTTCTTTGGGCTCAACATCCATCAGCTCCTTCGGCGAAGCAGGGGCCCTCGATCGTTTCTCCGACGCCATTTTTTCCTTGTTCAGTTTGGGACGGCGGCGGCTATCCCTATCAGTTTCTTTCGGGCGCTTCACACGCATGGGATGGGCCACATCTTTCGAGCCCACCACTAAAGGGCGAACAGCATACGTGGGCCGTTTCTCCTGAGCAGTAGGGGCATCAGCCACTCTTGGGCTGTCCACTGATTTGGGCCGAGCCACTTGAGCAGGATGAGCAGCAGCCTTTTGTTGGGTCGCGCTTATGGGCCTAGCGGGGCTTCTGTTGGCCGACGCTTTTTCCCCCTCCCCTTGCCGAGCCAATTTCCCAACAATGATTTTAGGGCTACGGGTGATTGGGACACGAAGCGGGCTTCTCTTCTTCGGCCCTGCCGGTTCCGTCGTGAGAAACGGCTCAGCCGACGTTCCCATCCACAGCGGACTAGTTGCAGTTGCCGCCGTCTCCGTTCTGTTCCCCATATTCTTCCTGGTAGCACCCCCACCTACTGCCTTCTTGGTTTCCACTTGTCGAGCCCCCTGAACAGCTGCGTTGATCCACACCGATTTCGCCTGTCCAGGAAATTGATTTTTCTCCTCCACTTCCTCATAGATACGGCGTCCCATTTTTTTCGTCGACATTTGAGGTCCAAACCTCTCCTTCCGGGATGGGGGATCAAATACGCAAGATTGCCTCGCATGTCCAACACGGCCACACTTGAAACAAAACAGAGGCAGATACTCGTACTTCAAGCGGATCCAGAATCGTCCCATCTCCTCATTTTCAGCCATGATTTGGGATCTTAATGGCTGAGAGAAGTCGATCACAGCTTTCACCTTCACAAACTTGCGCTCCGATTCCGAGCAGGAGAAGACACCAGCTTCAAGCACCTGGCCAATTGTGGCATTCGCCATCTTGCGCCCAAACTGATGGGTGCAGCAATCTTCAGGAATGTCCCACATTTGCACACGAAATGGGGCTGTTGCTAGATCATCGAAGACTTTTTTGTTGATCGTCGCGGTCCATGCCCGAAGATGGAGGACCCGATCCTTGATCACCCATGGTGTTCGTCTAAGGACCCATAGCTTGGCCGCTTCATCCGGCATGGTGAACTCGTAGAGCCCGTGTGCAGCCTGGCGCACCTGAATCCGCCCTTGACCTTGCCAGTGCGTGTTCACCGACTCTCGCAGCTCCACCAGAGAAAGGCTGTTGTCCGAGAAGATCCGGCCAATCAACCCCCGAGCTTTGCGGACTCTGTCCGATTGGATTTCCTCCATGGAGAAGTGGACGATCTGGTCGGACGACACGTGCTCCATCGGACTTCTCTGCAAAGATAGCCATGGGAATGGTTTAGAAACAACCGCATCCCACTTATCCCCCTTACAAACTGTCCAAGGGTACGAAGCCGAAGCTACACAAACTTGGGACCTGGTTAGATCATCCTCATGAATCAAAATCATAGAGTAAATAGTAGGTTTATCCACATACCAGATTAGCCCAAATGCCAACTGTGCTCTCTCCTTTTCCGTCCCTTTTCTCCTATCCTGCTCAATGATCGTGACTGCAAGAGAGGTACGGGTACGTGGAGAATAAAAAGGCCTGGGAGAAAGCTGTGCAGTGACACTATGACTCTTTTTCGGGTAATGCTGGATCCTATTTTGACTTATCCTCCTAACCAAGGATATTTTTTCAATTGTTACGGGGTTATGCCTCCGCAGGAGATCCCCAAAACCGTTAACTGTAACCGATTTCCCGGTCCCCACGCTAGAGATTCTGGAACTCTCTTGTGAGACACCATCGGGGGCACGTTTCTGTATCCTGAGCCGGCAGGCTCGGCGAAACAACCCAAGATTCGAATCACGCCGGCGCCGGGGTGCAAAAACCGGCGTCTTTCTTCCCATCAATAGGGGAATCAAACTTGCTCCATTACGGAGTCTAAGGTCAGTCTGTCGTGGGACTCCGAGGGGGACTACCTTTTCAGTATAATCCTGGCAGCCTCTCGCTGGAAGTGCAGATTTTCCCTGCCCTTTATTCTCCAGCTCGCAAGACAACGGCATTACAAACCGCCATGGGTCTACCTTTTTGGTATAGACCTTGAAACCGCTCGCTGGAAACTCAGGTTCTCCCTGTCCATTACTCTCCAGCTCGCCAGACGACGGCAGTACAAACCGCCAAGCCTGTTTTATGGAACGGCGCACTCGTTTCCGATCCCGCCCTTCCATGGCAGCGCCCTCTTTACCATCAACGCCGACTACTCGTTTTCGTTTTTCGAGAGGCAGAGAGCTCTGAAAAGATTCAGTGCTTCCCATCCGAGGAGGGAGGCCCGACGTCTCCACCGCTTCTTCACTTCTTCCTTTCATCCAGCTATACGAGGGAAGAACCTCTGCCCCTTGGTTTGCTAGCACTACCGCAATCACCGCCGCAATGCAACCCAGGAGAGCCTGACCGGCCCTCCTACAAAGTTCCAAGAGCAAAAGCATCATCGGCGACACTCCAAGTTTTAGGAGAGAGGAGAGAGTATTGGGGGGTAAACATAGGAGCTTTTGTTAATGTTGCCAAGTCGTTTGTGAATATAACCCAACAGTGAGCTCAAACTCGAAGAACCAAAAGTTTGATCACTGATGATTCTTGTAGCTTTCTCCCCGGGATGAACACTGTCCCAGAACAAGTACTTGCTAGCATCAGGGCAAGTACCTGGAACAACACAGAGTATCCCAAGCTCGATGTTTCCGGTGGCACAGCAGCCTCTTTTCACCTCTTCAAACCCTGCAAAAAACAAACCAGAAAGTGGGAATTAAAAAACCCGATCAATGTAAAGCTAGCTAGCTAACCATGTGTGTCATCATTACCATACGGAGCTGGGTTCTGTATGAGGGAAAGCGCGGGGCTGTAAATGTCGAAGTACACAATCTTCGCTCCCGGAAGCTCTGCATTCAGCGAGGAAACAGCCGTGGAGAGCTTGGAGTTGAAGAGCTTCGCGGCGTCATTCAATTCCTCCGCGCAGTTCCTCTCCAGTATTAGCAGCCCGTCGCCGGTCACCCTCTCGCGAGGAACGCAGCCGATTGGAGCCGCACCCACCACCCCGATTCTCCTCGCGCCGAGCCCGTAGAGCTCCTGCTCAGTGGCGCATTTCGTCGAACACGTTCAGGGCAATGAAATCTGTGATTTTGATTGAATGAGTAAATGAATGGAGGCGAATCGTCGAACCTTGTACACGTCCAGAGCTAATCCGACGAGGATATCAGTGTACGTATCGATGCCGTATAGGGATCTGCTGAGCTGGTTGGCCATGTCGTTGCTCCCTAGCAGGATCATGTGGGGACTTGTGGATGTGATGTTGTCTGCTCTTTCTTTCCCCTCGCTTGCAGTTATCTTGCTCTTGTACTCTCTGTACATCTCAAGTTGGTTCTTTATTGTTATCGACCCCTGCTTGCACATTTTGAGCTAGTACCGGTAAGCACGTGATATTCGGATTTATTGGTAGACAAGGGTAATGTAGATTGGTGCAAATTTGTCGTTATTGAGACAAATACAATGAAATAAAGGTTATAAGTTGATCACTCTTTGTTGGGAGGTGAGAGGATCGTAACCAGCACCCGAGGAACCGAACGAGACACCGGTGAGAAGGTCTTTCATTTGCAGGGTCGGATCCTTATAAGCCGGTATAACAGGTTCTTCACACCTAACGTTTCAGCTGACGGTGGAAAAGCAAAAAAAGGAGAAGTTAATGTTTCGTAATAACCGGTTTGTTAGAATCCCCGCCCGAATAATGTTTCTAGAAGAGTACAAATTGAAATTTTAGATGACGACTATGAAAAGATCAAATATTGTTTTGAAAAGAAGAAGAAGAAGAAAAAAAAAGGCAATAACTCATTATCATACTCGAAAACAAAATCAACTCGAATTTTGATTGTATAAAGACACAAATTGAACCACTAGAAACGTATCACGATTCGAGAAGTTGTAACGGACTATAAACCCCAATCACCTCCCCCACACACATTGCTAAAACATCACATAAAAGGAAGAAAACAGAAGGGAGATCATATTTGGTACCTATGAAGTCAGGGAAGAGTCTGCCATTGCTGAACCTTCCGGTGGGTTTCCCGCCGGGGAAATCTCTCCCATATGGCGGGAAGTTGCTCTTCGCAATGGTGACGACGTAGTTGTTGTTCCCTGTATCGACTAACGAATCCCCAAACGTGAACACTGCTGGAACGGCGCCTGATGCTGCTGCAGTAACGTTGAATAGTAGCACAAAGCTTATCAGCTGAACAAGTACGGAGAGAATGCCATTATGTTTTTGACGATCCGAGGATATCTCGAATCGTCTGATGAATACCCGACAAATTCATGAAACCGGGGCGATTCGAACTAGAAGAAGGTTGGGTTTTGGAGTAGGACAGGGTAGTGTGTGTTCATTTGCATACCAAGAGATGGAACTCTGCTAGCTGTATATATTCAAGAAGTGTAAGGTGGTGTCGAGTGATTATGAAATGGTGGCATATAAATTTAGCAACATTAAGGTCAACTCTGGACATGAGAGGGAGTTCGCATAAGGTCGTCTTGTTTTGGATGATTTATATTTAAGGTCGTCTTATTGCAGCGGGAGAAACGTGGTGAGTATTAAACTATTAATATACACAAACAAATTGGAGGCTCCGACTCCCCTTTGCGTGCTTGCAAGCTGGGAACTCGTGGTGGTCAGCTTTACGTACGAGTCAAAATAGCTTTGGCGAGTTGCTAGAAATGTGAATCCTACGATTCTTTTTCTTACTAGCTTGAGTCCAGCCAGTTGGTGTAAAGAATAATCTTTTGTGTTCAAATAAGTTGTTCCTATCCGTTGACAATATTATGGCACATATTACATATGGTGCATTGATTTAGTGGAGATAAAATAATTTACAAAAGAGTTGGATAAGCTTTACGTATTGTCTTAATTATTACGGAAGACTTACCTAATATATTTGTTTATCTGATACATATGAAATAACTTTCATTTCATATTTTTTACTTAATGTATTTGTTATTTACATAAAATTTATAGAATGGTGTTATGTAAATTTTCCATAATGTGTGGTCCAATAATCGAATTACGGATAAGTCTCACATTTGATTAAGTTGTTATGTGAAAATAACCGACCTTACAAAACTTTGTGGAATGCACATTGATAAGATCATCAACAATTCAGTTAATAATTTATAAAAATTAGTTAAAATTAGTACTATGTATTTAATTTATACATAAAAAATTACTTTAGCATAGTGTTTTAGTCATTATGGAAGATTCGTATAGTACGGTTTGTTTAATTGAGACATGAGGAATAAGTATCCCTCTACCTAATATATTTATAACTTATTTAATTGTTATAGAATGATATTATATAAATTCATATTGTGTGGTCTAATAATAAAATCGAGTTATTAAACTACTATGTAATTTATTTTATCTTTGAATTTAACATGCTTTACGTAATTGTTATAAAATTGTCACATAAATCTTCAATTATGTGTGATCTAATAATAAAATCAAGTTATAAAATAAATTAGCCAACCCAACCTACCACGGAGAGGAATGGGTCTCATTGTCATCCCAATTACTAAAATTCCATGTTTGGACATCTCTATCTGTTGTGTGTATTAATAGTGCACACCTTGCAACATTTATATATATATAAAAGCTTACAACAAAAGATTGGAGGGCTTAGAAAGCTCTAATCTTGCCCAGCCCAACGTACGTAGACGCAAAACCACACGGGAAGTGAAGTGTATCCACCGTATGCAATTATTACCTGAGAAATTTTACAATGCTATATAACATTGGTGCTATAAGTTTTTGTCTTTATGATACAACTTGAAATTGTACATTTAACATTATGATACAAGTTCAGATTGTACCTATATTTTTTGTACAAATTCTTTTATGGTACAACTTAAACTTGTACCTTGTGTGATGGTACAACTTCAAGTTGTAAAGTTGTACCATAACATAATGATACAAATTCCTTATGGTACAACATAAACTTATACATTTAATGTTATGATACAACTTCAAGTTGTACATTAAAGCACCAATGCTATATAACAAAAAAAGTGCTCTTATTACCCTCAGGTACCCTTTAATTATTAGTTAGGGAATGTTTTAACCAATAATGGCGTCGAACCCGATAATTTCTTAATGAATAGTGCTTTTAAACTTGCGCTTTAATAGATGGATTAGAAGATTAAATTTGTGAGAAGGGTGATCCAAGTTTAGAATGGGAGACATGTCCTAGTCTGAAGTGCCAAAGATCAAAACCTTGAGTAGTGGCTGCTGTGATGTGGTTAGGACTACTATCTAAAGGGGGTTTGTCTATTAGGTAGAGGCCATGGAAAAGCTTAGCAGAACCAGTCATCCTCCTCAGCTGCATGTCCTGAATCAAACATACATCAAAGAAGAATGTCAAACAAAGAGACCTGTTCTTGGTCAATTCGCTGACTGGCACAAGATTGAAACTGGATTGAGGAACAAATAATGCTTCCTCAAGTGTTAGACCAGCAATGCAATGCACTGTCGCAACATGGGTAGCTTGGACTTGCTGTCCAGTGGGGAGAGTAATGTAAACAGCATGAATAGGTCTGGAATTGGCTAGATGGTTAAGGGAACATACTATGTGGTATGATGCCCCTGTGTCAAGTATCCAGGTTTCATTGTAGGGGGTGGAAACTTGATTGCTTAGAAAATATTTACCTAGTGACTGAGGTGGGTTGGAACAAAATGTTGCAACTGAGAAGCCAGAACTAGTGGATGGATGAGAGTTGGTGCTCATTAGCTTCATCAGTCTGTCATGGTCTACTTTGGTCAGTTTGAATTCCTCTTGTGGAGTAGTGACATCAGTGGTGCAGGTGGCATTAACAGAGGGTTTAGATCTATTGTTGTTGCCACGACCTGCTCCATTTGAACTTGGTGGATAGCCATGTTTAGAGAAGCATTTGTCTTATATGTGTCCAAGCTTCTTGCAGTAGGTGCATTTAAGGGATTTGCCAGATGGGTTGGTTCCCTTGGAGGTCATTCCTAGAGGCCAGCCGTGTTTATGGAAACAGATATCTTATGTGTGGCCCTGAGCTTTGCAGTATGTGCAGAAGGGTTTGGGCTTCTTGCCACCAGGAATGTTAGAGGATTTTTATGTCATAGGTTCAGCAGGCAGGGGCTTTGAGTGAGAAGTACCATAAAGTTATCTTTCATGTTGGAGAACCCTTTGGAAAACCCTGTCAATGGTTGGTAGGGTGTCTCCAAACAAAACCTGGGATCTTACACTGCTGTAGTTGTCATTAGGACCCCTCAAGAACTGTATGACATAATTAGTATCCCTATAGACATACACTTGTTGCATTTCTCTACACTGGTTGTGACTGGTAGGTGTGCAGGCACAGGAATCTAGGGGTTGGTAGTTGTCTAGTTCATCTCGTAGAGCTATCAGATCACCATAGTATTCAGTGACAGACATATTACCTAGTTTCAGGGTGGCCTGTGACTCAATGAGCTCTACAACCCGGATCATGTCTCCTTGACCATAACGAGCTCTGAGACTTGTCCATGCTTCAGAGGCTTTTCTGATGGACATGATGGTCTTCCTGATGCCAGGGTCAACTGCCTGTTGGATCCAGGAGAGCACCATAATGTTGTTTCGTGCCCAAGCCCAGGCTGTAGAGTGGTTTGCTTCTGGTTCAACAAGAGTGCCATTGATGAAGCCAAGTTTGTTTTTGGCTCCAAGTGTGTTGTACATTGCTTTACTCCAGTAATTGTAGTTGGTTGGAGTGAGCTTCTCTGCAACAAGAACAAGACCAGGTTGTTCAGATCCATGGAGGTAGAAAGGATCTGCCATAGGGTCAGGACTGGCTGCATATGAGACTCCTGCAGCTGCTGCTTCTTGAGCCATGGAGGCTGGTGGCGGCTAGGGTTTCCAGCACCAAAGCTCTGATACCATAACATCAACTTTGTGATTGTTGAAAACTGAAAAACCTAGTCTCTTCTCATTAGTTTGGCAGCTTGTATAGCTGGGTTAAAGTTGTAGAACAAGACAACCTTGCATCAGAAGCAAGTACAGGTCATAAAGGGAAAAGTGTGTAAAAACATAACATTTGGACTTAAATTATAAATTGACAGTGTGGTCTTGATACGTTGTCGTTCCAGCCTTTCTTCAAGTGGTGCCAGAAACGACGTCACTCCATGTTCTTGTCTCCTTCTGTTCAGAGAGCGGGGGAATCAATTCATTTGAATTGTTCCCTGATACACATCTACAGCTAATGCGACGTGTTTGTCAGTGTATGCATTGAAGTCGTATTGAGCTCTCCTGGCTGGGTTGGCAAATATGTCGGTGGTCACTAGGACGATAACATGGGGGCTTGTGGAAAGGATGGCGTCTGCTCTTTCTTTCCCCACGCTCACATTGATCTTGCTCCTGTACTCTTTGTACATCTCTAACTGATCCTTTATTGTTATTGCCCCCTTCATAGATATGTGGAGATCTCGAGTTTGATAATTTTAAAACGAATGAGATAACGTTCATTATTTTAAGTTTTTTTTCTTTGTAATTCGTAAATTATTGAGATAAGGCGAATGAAGAAGGAAAAGAAAAAGGGTTATAAGATGAGGC